AGTATGATGATGATGATGATGAAGATGATGCGGATGATGAAATGATGATGATGATGATGATTGATGATGATGGATGATGAATGATGATGATGATGATGATTAAGATGATTGATGATGATGAGATGAGATGAGGATGATGATGATGATGAATGATGATGATGATGATGATGATGATGATGATGTGATGATGATGATGATGATGATGATGATGATGATGATGATGATGCTGGTGATGATGATGATGATGATGATGATGATGATGATGATGATGATGATGATAATGATGATCGGGATGCTGATGCTGCTGATGATGATGCTGACGATGATGCTGATAATGATGATTCTGATTGTGGTGATGATGGCCCGAGACAGCCCAAGCAAGATGGCCTGAGAGAGCCCCCGCAGAGCCATGAGACATGCCCAGACAGCCCAAAAAGACCCCAGCAGTCCCCAAATGGACCGTGACATGCCCCCAAGAGGCCCCAAGGATGCCCCAATATAGCCCCAGACGGCCTACCCCTCTCTTCTTCGACGTCCTCTTCGTCGGGCTCCTTACCGTCCTTCGTCGTCGTCGTCGTCGTCGTCGTCGTCCTTCTCCTCCTCGTCCTCCTCCTCCTCCTCCTCCTCCTCCTCCTCCTCCTCCTCCTCCTCCTCCCCCGCGTCTTTCCTCCTCGTACTCGTCGTCCTCTATCTCTTCCTCCTCGTCCTCGCGATCGTCTTCCTACTCGTTGTCCTTTGGCTCCAGTCGCTGCCCTCCCAGTCATCCACGCTGCCATCCTCGACATCCGCCGCTTTGCCATCCTCATCATCCTTTTCTTTTTTTCCCCCTGCGAATCCAGTAGACAGAATTGGCGCTTCCCGTCCTTAGCCGGCCCAAGAGGCCTCCAAGACGGCAACCGATCACCCCAAGCGCCCCCCCAGACGGCTCAACGGAGACCCCAAAGAGCCCCAAGACGGCCCAATAGCGTTCTAAGACGGCCCAAGAAATTTTCGAGATGCCCAAGGGAACTTGCAGAGCCCTCCCAAGAGGGCCCCGAGAGGCAACATCATTGATTTCCTGGTGTTTTCAACGTTCCAGCTTCGACGTCCCAAGACGGCCCCCAGGATTACCCCAAGACGGCCACAGAGGCCCGCAGTAGGGCCGCAAGACGGCCCAAGAGGGCCCCAAGCCGGCCCAAGATGCGCCCAAAGCTGCCCAAGAGGGCCCCCAGACGGCCCCAAGAAGGGCCAAAGAGGGGGAACACGAATCGACAATTCGAGCCTTCCGCCACACGGGGACCCCAGGAGGCCCCAAGAGGCCCAGAAGAGGCCCAACCACGGTCCCAAAATGGCCCCTAAGAGGCCCAAAAGAGGCCCCAAGAAGTTCAACGCGCCCCCTACGAGGCTTGTGTTATTTAACTGGGGGGCATTGACGTGACATCGACCGTCAGGCCCCCCAAAGGCCCCAAGATAGCCCCTGACCGACCCGACAGCCCCCTGGGTAACCTCAAATGATCACGAGGACCCCTCTCTTCTTCGACGTCCTTTTCGTCGGGGTCCTTGCTGTACTTCTTCGTCGTCGTCGTCGTCCTTCTTCTTTTCCTCCTCCTCCTCCTCCTCCTCTTCCGCGTCATTCCTCCTCGTACTCGTTCTCCTCCGTCTCCTCCCTGTCGTCGTGCTTGTCGTTTTACTCGTTGTCTTTTTGCTCCAGTCGTTGCCCTCCCCGTCATCCAAACTGCAATCCTCGACATCCGCCGCCTTGTCGTCTCCATCATCCTTGTTGTCTTCCCCCCCTGTACGAGCCCAAAGCACAACACCGGCCCTTCCCGTTCTTGTCCGATCAGGTTGTTCCAGTTTAGGGCTCGGGGCCGAAAGACGAACGTGCCGAGGACGCCTTTGTGAGCCCCCACTCCCACCAGCTGCGTTGACTGCGCTGAGTGCGTCGATCCGTGGGACGAGCTTTGGGAGCAGGGTAATGCGCAGGGCGGGACGGCCCGAACCAGCCCAAGATGGCGCCGAGATGACCTGACATAGCCCCCGCAGAACCCCGAGACATGCCCAGGCAGCCCACGAAAACCCCACTAGCCCTCACGAATGCCCCGACAGGCCCCCAATCTGCCCCCAGGATGTCCCGAGATAGCCCCATACTGTTCCAACAGCCCCCAGGGTAGCCTCAAACGGTCACGAGTACCCCCATCTTCTTTGACGCTCTTTTCGTCGGGCTCCTTACCATCCTCCTTCCTCGTCGTCGCCGTCGTCGTCGTCGTCGTCCTCCTGCTCCTCCTCCTCCGCTTCGTTCCTCCTCGTACTCGTCCCCCCATCTCTTCCTCCGCGTCTTTGTGCTTGTCTTCCTACTCGTTGTCCTTTTGCTGACCTCGCTGCTCTTCCCGCCATCCATTCACACTGCCATCCTCGACATCCGCCGCCTTGTCGTCGCCATCATCCTTTTCTTCTTTCCCCCAAACGAGTCCATTGTACAGCATTGGTGGTTTCCGTTCTTGTCTGGTCAGCTTTTGTGTTTTGGTCTGTGGCGCGGGGCCGAAAGACGACCGTGCCAAGGACGCCTTTGTGAGTGCCCCCCAGAAGCTGCGCCTGCGTCGAATGCGTCGATCCGTGGGACGAGCTTGGGGAGCAGGGTAATGCGCAATGCGAGACGGAGGAAAACGATGACCAATATCACGGTCACGCCAAACAGGGCGAACACGAAAACGACGACGACGACGAGTACGAACCAACGACGGTGCCCACGACGACAAGTTCGGACACGACGACGAGTAAGATTTGAACGACGACGCTGAATACGTAGACAACAACGGCGATTGCGACGATGACGACGACACCTGGGGGTCTCCACGGTATGTGAATGTCCCAGAGATCGTCCAGAGGCGTGTTTTGATGACGGCGGTAAGGGAAACCGCGAGGACGAGTTCGACGACGAGACTTCTCTTCCCCCCCGTTCTGCCTGCAGCATAAGTCAGCACGTCAGACTAGGCATGATATTTCCCGTACGGCTTTCGAATATCTTTCTTCTTACCCCATGCCCTCCTCCCACTCGTCCCCGCTCCGCTGGTCGCCCCCACCCTCCTCCCCGCTCCTCATGGTGACCCATGGCGACACAGGGACATCGGGGCTGAGAGATGTTGCCCACTCCTCCACCCCCTCTGCCTGCAGCAGAAGTTACAACGTCAGGCGAGACATTATATTTTTGTACGACTTTCGCATGTCCTCCATCTTACCCACTGTCCTCCTCCCACTCGTTCCCGTTCTTCTGGTCGCCCCCATCCTCCTCCTCGCTTTTCTCGGTGACCCGGGACGACACCAGGACATCGGGGCTAAGAGACGATGTCCACTCTTCCTCCCCCTCCTGCCTGCGGCATTAGTTACCACGTCAGGCCAGTCGTGATGTTTTCCTGCTTGCGCTGGGTTGGCTGGCGTTTGGTATCTGCCACCCCGTCCCAGAAAATCGAGGCCTGTCCGCCCTGGCAGCTTGCAGGTCAATCCTCTACTCCTGCCCCCTTCTCTCGGCTCGTGCCCGCTCCTCCACTTCTTCTCACTTCCTCCCGTTTCCCCGTATTCTTCCGCCATGGCGGCCTGGTGCGCCCACAAGGCGCACAGCTGAACATTTTTCCTTGAACACTTCTCCCAACAACTGAATACTTGCATCGCGTGCTGCTTCTGGCGAGGAAGAAACCCTCCAAAAGGGGATTGGTGCATAGACTTAGAGGGCAGAGTGAGGTACACATGAGGTTAGCACCAGCTCCTTAGATCGCATGTTCGCCAGATGGTCGTCGTCGCTATCGTCGTAGTGCTGGTGGTGGTGGTGGCGATTGCCGTCGTCGTGCGGCTCTTTTCGTATTTTTGGTGGCCTCTCGGATGGGCCGCGTTGCCACGACTTGACGCAGCTCGAGAACCAAACGGGGTGGCGTCGTCCTGGGGCACCTATTCTGAGCGGAAACGGATGGCCGACCCAGACCCCCGTGCCTTCAACAGAACGCGACGGCCAGTTTCCCGATTTCCCCCTCTTGACTACAAAGGCCCATTTCGGGCCCCGGGACTGTCCACAGAAAATGCCCGCGGCGAAAAGCTGGTCCTGGGGATGGGGTCGGTAGCCCCTGGGCCCGCGTCTTCAAAACCCTACCGACGATGGAGGTCTGGGCACGGTGGTCGTGCGGCGGCAGCGCTGGGCGCGGGCGCTCAAGGCTGAAGCCCCTCGGCAGCCTTGCTGGGGCTCCCGCGGTGGCAGAGGCTGGGGCCCACGCCAACGGGCCAGCCAGGTCCCGCCGTGCTCGTCCACAGCTCTTTTCCCTCGCCCCCTCCTCGCCCGACGACTGCCGCTGGCTCTCCCCTCGTCGCAGGCCGTGGCCATCCGTGGGCCTCCTGCCAGCCCCCCCCGCCAGGGCGGCAGGACCTCTCTCTCCCCTGGGGCGCGGCATGAACGCGGTCCGCCCTCTCTTCCTCTGCGCTGGAAGGGCTGCAGTTTGGCGGAAGCCTGCCAGAGGATCACCTTGCTCGTTTCGTGTTCACACGTAGCGTCTACTCTTCGGCAGACTGCTCCTCGTCGCTCTCATCTCCTCCCTCCCTCACCTCTCTCCATGGTTCCCACCCTTTCGCTGCTGCCGCTGCCCTGCGCTGGCCCCCGCCATGTGCAGTTCAGTGTTGCGCCAGCCAGGCCCTGCGCGCGCGCTCGGCCAAGAGCATCAGTCGTTGTGCAAGCGAGATCGAGAGTCCGTAAGTAAACGCGCGCGTTCGCACGTACGCGCGATCGTGCAGGAGCGCGTGCGAGGTAACGAGCGAGCGGGCCAGCATGGGAGCGCACGTGCGCGCAGGCTGCTCGCGGCAGCTCGGCGGAAGCTGTGCGACGGGGAGGAAAATGACGCGTGCGTGCGGACGGACGGCTCGCGGGCAGGCGGGTGGGCGGTTGGCAGAGCTGTTGCCGCAGCTGCTCCTCCTGCTCCCTGGAGCTCTGGTCCCCTGACCCGTGGGTGGTGGGGCAGTCCGGTTCGCGCGCGCATGTGCGCTCCAGGTCGCCTGCTGTCCACGGGGAAGCGGTATGCCGACCACCCGGACCGGCTGGCCAGCCTCAGGGAGAATTGCGGCACGCCGCCGGCCCTGCCCCTTTCTCGTCGGCGCCTCCCGAGCGCTCGCTCCTCCCACCGACCAGCCGCCCGCCCACCCGCTCGAGGAGGAGGAGGAGCAGGAGGAGGAGGAGGAGGCGCCCGCCCGTGTGTCCGTTCGGCTCCCTTGGGGGGCGGTAGTGTGTCGAAGGTGGCCGCGCGTCGCGCCTCGCGACGTGGGCCGGGGGGCGGCCCTTCCCCACGGGGGAGGCGCGAGGGCGCGGAGACGGCGGCGCCACTTCCTCGCCCCCCTGCTTATGATGTTTCAACCTATTTTGCCTTGACCACCAGAAAGAATTTCGAGCACCCCAAAAAATACCCCTTTCTCTTGCGCTCATCCCCTTCGCCATACAGGGTCAGACGCGACGAGAAGGACGAGTCATTTTCCACGGTTGCCCTTGCGTCCTTGTCCGTCCTCGCCCCCATGCTTATGATGTTCCAACCTACTTGAGCCTTGATCACCAGAAAGAATTTCGAGCACCAGCAACAAATACCGAAACTCGAGGGTTTTCACGCGTCGGGCCCTGGGAGATACTCGCCCGACACTCTTTTGACACTCTTTCGACACTTTTCTGGGTGCTCGAAATTATTTCTGGGATGTGGTCTTTGAGTAGGATGGAAGCAACATAACCCCATGCCCTTTTTCTCCTTCGCTCATCCCCTTCGCCATACGGGGTCAGACGCGATGAGAAGGACGAGTCATTTTCCACGGTTGCCCTTGCGTGCTTGCCTGTTCGGCCCGTCCTTCACCGTTTTTGCTGGCCAGCCTCTCAGGTTACCCTTGGGGTTGGCGGCGTCCTTCGTCTGCGCGGCGCGACGCTCCAGCGGGGAAGGGCCCCAAGGATGCGGACGTTCCCTTGGCCGTCCCTTGGCGCGTTGTCTCCGTCCTCGGCCGTCTCCGCATTTGTGGGTCGACGTGGCTCGAAGGAAGCGGACCCGTATACGCACGTACGCGCGCACGCGCGCGAAAGCTGTTTTGTGTTACACTACGTGTTACTTCCCCGAAGCCAAGAATACAAGTGAAGCAGTTGTTTTTTCCACCATTTGAGTTTTCGAAGTTCGGTGTGTCATGCCACATTGATTTTCGCGTGGTGCCGCGTGCGCGCGTGCCCGCGTGCGCTTGCGTACGCGCGCACGCGCGCGCAATTTGAACCGTGCTACAATCTATAATATCATGGTGAAGTTTTGGGTGTGTATGAAGCATTAAGTTTTTCACAGGTTAGTTTTCGAAACTCGGTGTGTCGTTTCCCATTGATTTTCGCATGGCGCCGCGTGCGCATGTTCGCACGTGCTGTAGGACAACCGTATCCGTCCACGCATGTATGACAACATGCTAGAGCAGGTTGAGGACCAGGATGCACTTGAATCAGCAGGCTTTCGCCTCGTTTTTCTCGAAGTCACGTTGGTCACTTCCGACGAATGTTGATATGTCGCCGCACGGGCGTGCCTACGCGTGCAACAACAATTCGCATTGTGCTACGCAGTTTCATACCATGTTGGGGCTCGTGATGCGAGTGATTCACGTGGTTTTGGCCATTCAGTTTTCGATTATGACCGCCAATGGGTTTTCGCGTGGCGCCGCGTGCGCGGGCGCGCTAGTTAGTTCTGTCTCGTCCACATGAAGAGGTTGCCATGTGGGTGTGGAGAAATGGTCAGTCTTCCATCCTGCTGGGCCCTGCTGCACGTCATCCCTGGCGAGGAAGGTTGAACACAGACATTCCCCCGAAACCCGAAACCGGGCAGGGCCAAACCCGAAATCCCGACGGGCGAAACCTGAAAGCTCAGGAGGCCCAAGCCCGAGACTCCAGGAGGGGCGAGGTCCGACAAGCTGGGAGGGGGCCTAGCTAGAGAAGCTCAGGAGGGGATCTCGAAGGAGGCAGGACGAGGTAGTAGGCGGCAGGAGGAGGTAGGAGGAGTGTGAGGGGGGCAGGGGATGGTAGCAGGGACGAGGAGGTAAGGTGAGCCAGGGTGCAGCTCGAGGAGGCTGGTGGACGTAGGAGGAGATATGACAAGGCAGACGAAGGTAGGAAACCTACGAGGGCAACGGAGAGGGTAGTAGGGCGGTAAAACATCCACACGTGGAATTCTTGGGCTTATCGGGTTCTGGATCGCGCGTCGGCGAATGGTGCTTTCCATCAGCCACCTGAGCGTGGTCCGTGTGTGGTTTCTGCGGGCGGTTGGTTTGGGGTCTTCTTTGGTGTTTGCCGGCCTGTCGTTGCCCTGTTGCGAATGGAGTGGCGGTGTATCTGTTCCCACCCCGCGGCGTTGTCACGTGACGTATGTAATGGAGCACTTGTTTTCGCTTCCCAGGCGAGGCCACGTGGCGAGTAGAGTGAGATCTGTATATGTGCGGCCCGCGCGGCATTGCCACGTGATGAGTAGAGCGGAGGTCTACTTCTCGTTCGCTCCCCATGCCGTCGCCACGTGGCGAGTGGAGTTGGGAAAAATATTCTTGTTTGTCTCTCAGGCCTTGCCACGTGGCGCTGCCATGTGGCTAAGTAACATGTGTTCCCGGCCCGCTTCGTTGCTGCACTTTAAACGAGGTTTAAGGAGTGCTGTATAGCGAGCGTCATATCCGACGCTGTCTTGGCTCAAGGCAACGCTGTCCTATTTGCTAGGTGCACGACCTTGTGCGCCTCAACTGGGATCATAGCATCAGACAAAGGCCACGACTATCTATGATCCACCTCTCCATCCCATGTCTTCTCTCTTACGTATCGTCTTGCTTGCCATTAAGGGATGAGTTGTGGGATACCTCGGTATGTGGCCGACGTTATCCTACGAATAGGGTTCTCAGCTTATCACTTATCACCTCATGATCAAGCCCTATACCCTTACTTTCACTTGGTAGCGGGGCTGGCTACATCTTCATGTGGTTGGCTCTTACATTATGTGTTCTGTACATAGTGATTTACCATGGGACAGTGGAGTACCCGACTGTGCCGGCTCTCAACCACTACACTCCCGATACTCTTGAACCAATTGGTAACGTACAGTCCTACACCTCCATCTCCCCACCGCGTGGCCACACGCCACGCACATCTCAAGCACCACTACCCATCTTCAAGCTGACGGCCGCGTCAGACCAGACACCCAGTCGCAACCTTACGGAAGCGACAATACCCAACGATGCGCAACCTGATATCATCAGCCACAACGTGACCATGCTCAATGTAAAGGTCGTTATCTTTGGAACTATATAGGTGTTCTCGGGCCTTCCCGTGGCATACATGCGAGGAGGAGGACTGGATGAAACGCGCATGTGGGGTCCCCCCTGGGATCCCGCAGGCAGCGCGCCCTTCCGCGATTTTGTTCGCGAAGCACACGCAAGGCCTAACGTCGCGAGCGGCAACGTGACTCCACCCCAACAGGCCGCAGCTTTACAGCGCAGTCTAGGGGGATTGGCCAGGACTGTAGCCATGAGGGTGCCGTCCACCATCATCAACCATGGCGTCACACTACAGGGGGGACGCACCGACGGAGTCACATACATCATGTACCTACTAAGTACCAAGTTTGAAAACCTTGAGGATGAGCGACAACTCACCTTGGGGACACAGCCCTCACCGACTGTAGGGTCGAGAGAGGTGAATGCATCGATTCAGTACTGGCCCGATTGGAAATGGCCAGGCTGGAAGCAGATCCAGCAGGCTTCAACATGCCCAATTTTCCGATCTTTCCCCTTATCTAATTTCGTGCCTTGGGGGTCGGTACCTCTGCTTGGGACTGCTGTTGCAATCGGTGAACCACCAGATGCCCCGTACTCAACGACAGCACGACCAACTCCTGGAGCGAATGCGCAGTCATGCACACTTGGCTGAGCGTCTCCCGGGAAACATCGGGAACATCTTCAGCGGACGCAGCGCTGGCACCTACCACGCCGAAGTAAGCGACACACCAGCAGCCATGCCGAATAGCACATGGAATGACGGAGGGCCCGCTGAGTCCACGACGGTCCCAAGCCGAGGCGCCAATAATAACGACGAGCAGGCGTCTGGCTCAAACATGGGCTGGCCGTCAGCGGCCAGCTATGCACCACCTGACGCGACCACCCTCTTGAACTCCCCGAGCCAAGAAAATGACGACGTCGATTCCGGTACGGATGCCGAGACGGTCTCCTCCACCAGCGCCGACAACCTCGACTGGTCAGACCTTCCCGCCAGTGACGATGCAGCTGCGCAGAACCTATACCTAGGCAATCATCACGCCAACAGAAGATGGAAGCGTCACGTGGGACAACTGGTCAGGAAGTTCAGGAGAGCAGTGCGTCGTGTCTTCTTTTGTACAGGAAGGGGCCGCGGCAGAGGTGGTAGACGTGCCCGCAGACGGCATGGCTAAGGCATAACCGTGTTTCTGGCTCGATTGACCGACTACGGTTTTGATGACCTATTCCTGGAGGTATTTGTAGAGGTAAATGTCTTAGGCACACAACACGTAAGGGCAAGGGACGTCGGCTCAATCCAATGGGTTGAGATGGTAAAGTTGTGACTTGCAATACCTGCGGTAACGACAACATATCCAAGCACAGTGCTCTAAGAGAAGCGGGAAAAGGGGGCGGATCCGTGCTTCTCGGCTCAAGGCAATCCGAAGTGGACATTATTGAGGGAGGGAGGGGGGAGAAGGGGGGGGGGATGGAAGGGGGAGGAGGGAAGGAGGGAGAGAGGGAGGGAGGTCGGGAGGGAGGGAGGGAGGGAGCGAGGGAGGGAGGGAGCGAGGGAGGGAGGGAAGGAGGGAGAGAGGGAGGGGGGTCGGGAGGGGAGGGAGGAGGGAGCGAGGGAGGGAGGGAGGGAGAGAGGGAGGAGGGAGGGGGGAGGGAGAAAGGGAGGGACGGAGGGAAGGAGGAGAGGGAAGGAGAGGGAGCGAGGGAAGAGGGAGAGAAGGAGGGAGGGAGGCAGGGAGGGGGGAGGGAGGGAGGAAGGAGGAGGAGGGAAGGAAGGGAGGGAGGGAGGGAGGGAGGGAAAAGGAGGAGGAGGAGGAGGAGGAGGAGGAGGAGGAGGAGGAGGAGGAGGAGGAGAGGAGGAGGAGGAGGAGGAGGAGGAGGAGGAGGGAGGAGGAGGACAATCTGGCTTTTTCGATATTCTTGGTTTGTCTTTGGCCCTCGCAGTCCTCCGGGGGCCTCTCTGGAGACCTCCCCCATGCCGCGAGGGCCATGCTTCATGAACCAGCACGACGCCCCAGTGCTCTTCATCAAGGTTGCGCCGCCCGCTCCGCCCGCCCTCCCCCTTCCTTCGCGTCCCTTTCACCCGCCCGACCAGGGCGACGTCGTCGCTCGGAAGGCTTTTTTGGCGTTTCTGGGGGCTCTCGTCGCCACGGCTGGACGCGGTTCGGAGGATTGGCCGGGGTGGACCCCAGGCAGGATGAGTCCGGTCGTGCGAGGGGGGCGTCTCCTTCTCCTGCTCGCTCCTCCTTGTCCTTTTCTGTCGTGCCAGTTCCCATATTTTTCGTCCTCTCGTATGGGATTCCCGTGCCACCCAAGAGGGGAGCATGTTTCAAGTCGCGTTCTCACCATGGGGTCCCATGCGGATAATCAGCGGTGGCAGTGCAGGAACTTTTGTCTGTCCATATTAGTGGTATTATTCTTATTCTGGGCCGATAGCGGTCGTCAACTGGAGGGGGGAGGGGGCCGCTGACGTCACGTTTCGCGTCGGCGGCGTCTGGGAATGCCTAAGAATGACCGAGGACGGGTAGCAGCAGCATGTAGGTGGCGATCTGCATCGCAGCGCCTGTGTACACCACAGTGCCTGCGTGCACCACAGCGCCTGTGTGCACCACGCCGCCTATGCACACCACAGCAGCCGCGTGCAACACAACGCTAGTCTGCACCGCAGTGAGTGCGTGCACCACAGCGCTTGTGTACAACACAACGCCTGCGTACACCACAGCAACCGTGCGCGGCATATCAACAGTGTACACACCAGTGCCCGCGTGCACCACAGCGCTTGGGTGCACCACGGCGCGTGTGTGCATCCCAGCAGCCGTGTGCAACAGAGCATCATTCTTGTATCTAGAATTTAGAAATCTTATGACAAGATGAAACGCCTGTGGGTTCCATGGAGGATGATGATGAGGAGGAGGATGAGGACGAACAGGCGGAATCTGATGATGATGATGATGATGATGATGATGATGATGATGATGGTGATGCTGATGATGATGATGATGATGAGGAGGAGGAGGAGGAGGAGGAAGGGGAAGAGGAGAGGAGGTGGACCCTCCTCATAGGCCCCTATAACGGTTCACTCCCATTGAGGGAACTGCCTCGTTGGGAAAAAAAAGCCGTTTGAATACCCTGACATATGCCAAAACATTGTTCTCGGGATTGCAACGCCGCGGATCAACCTGAGTGTTACGTTTTGACGATCTTGAACGGTGCCAGAACACCATTCTTGGGGCTTCAGCACCGCGAACTAGCGTAACTGTTGCACCTGCATCGTCGTGAATCTTTCCAAAGCACAGTTTCTGGTAGGTGATCATGGGAATCCGTGAAGCTCTGTCGAATTTGAAGACGAATATGCGCGGCGCTAAGACGAGAGCCCCATTTTGAAAAGCAGCCGCCGTCAACCCGTGAAGCTCTTGCAAATTTTTGATCCGAATGTGCGCGGCGTTAAGGCGAGAGCCACATTTTCAAAAGTAGTCGCCCTCAATATGTGAAGCTCCTTCAAACATCAGCCAGCGTTGATTCCGAATAGATAGGAGGACAGGAGGAGGACGAGAGGAGGACGGAAGGAGGACGGAAGGAGGACGGGAGCAGCACGGGAGGGGGATGGGAAGAGCAACATCAATCAATCATAAGCAAGCAAGCTGAAGCAAGCAAACGCAAGCGAGCAATAGCAAGCAAGCAAGCAAGCAAGCAAGCAAGCAAGCAAGCAAGCAAGCAAGCAAGCAAGCAAGCAAACAAACAAACAAGCAATCAAGAGCAAGCAAACGAGAGTCAGCGATACACATCGGCATAGGCGTAGGCGTAGGCATCGGCATAGGCATGGGCAAAGGCGTAGGCATAGGAGTTAGGGGGGAGGCATAGGCATAGGCATAGCCATAGGAATTGGGGGTGCATAGGAAATTGGGAGGGGGCAGCGGACCAATCAGTAAGGTTTGAGTTAGAACTCCTATAGGGCAAGCCTATTTGGATACTTGTCAAAACGAATGTGGGCGGCGCTTTGGCGAGAGCCACATTTTGAAAACGACCCGCCCTCAATCCGTGAAGCTCTTACAAAATTGTAGAACGAATGTACGCGACGTCAAGGCGATAACCACATTTTGAAAACGACCCGCCCTCCATCTGCAAAGCTTTTTTCAGATCCACGGTCATAAATGGTGAGGAAGTCTCAGGCGAAACGCCCGGCACGCCATGACGACCGGCTTCGAGGTGCCGCAGGGAGAAGTTACGTATAAGGAAAAAATAATGGAGGAGGAAGAGGAGGAGGAGGAAGAGGAGGAGGAGGAGGAGGAGGAAAGGGAGGAGGCGGAGGAAGAGGCGGAGGAGGAGGCGGAGGAGGAGGCGGAGGAGGAGGAGGAGGCGGCGGTGGAGGTGGAGGAGGAGGAGCTGGAGGAGGGGGACCAGTGTATACCCAGGAGTCATCAAAGATGTTGGAACTAACCCTCCCTCCAAGCTCCCTCTTCATAGGCCCCTTATAACAGTGTATCCCCATTGAGGGAGCTGCCCCGTTGGAACAAAAAAAACCGTTTGAAGACCCTGAAGTATGCCAAAACAGTGTTCTCGGGATTGTAACGGCACGGATCAACCTGACTGTTGCGTCTTGACGATCTTGAATTGTACCAGAACGCCATCCCTGGGATTTCAACACCGCGAACCAGCGTAATTGTTGCACCAGCATAGCCCTGAATCTTTCCAAAACGCAGTTTCTGGTATGTTGTTCATGGGACCCCGTGAACATCTGTCAATTTAGAAAATACGAAGGTGCGCGGCGCTAAGGCGAGAGCCACATGTTGAAAAGAAGCCGCGTTCAATCCGTGACACTCTAGATTTTAAACGAATGTGCGCGGCGCTAAGGCGAGATCAACACTTTGAAACCGTCCCGCCCTCATTCCGTGAACCTTTTGCCAATCTCTGAAACGAATGTGCGCGGCGCTACGGCGAGAGCCACATTTTGAACAAGAGCCGCCGGCAATCCGGGAAACCCTGGCATTTTTTTATGCGAGTGTACGCGGCGCTAAAGCGATAACCACAGTTAGAAAACCACCCGCCTTCAATCCGTGCAACTCGTTCAAATTTGCAAATCGAGTGTGCGCGGCGCGAAGGCGAGAACCACATTTTGAAAACTACCAGCCCTCATCATGTGAAACTATTGTCAACTATCAAGACTCAGAGTCATAAGTGGTGGGGAAGTTCCAGGCGAGACGCCCGGCCCGCCCTAAAAACTTGTATCGGGGTGCGATGAAGGAGATTTTATGCATAAGGAGAAGGAGTGGAGGAGAAGGGAAAGGAGGAGGAGGTGGAGGGAGAAGGGGGAAGGAGGGGGGGAGAGGAGGGGGGAGGGGCAGGAGGGCTAGGTGCGCTAGGTGCGCTCGCGTCATATCTGACATCCTACCCCTCCCTCCCATCCCTTACCGTGGCGCAGATCCGATCTGTTCGCACAGTCGGATGTCGAGCAGGGCAATGATCCCGAAAGGGTACGCGATGCATTGTAGAGCCCGGGATGGCATGGCGTAGAAGAGCACCGCGAAGCGTAGTATGAACCTAGCATTGCATTGCATGCCGTGGCAGGGCACGGGAAATGACGCCAGCGCTGCAGCGGGAGCACGAGTCGAAACGAGCGGCAGTGCGGAAATGAGGCCAGCGCTGCAGCGGGAACACGATTCGGAACGAGCGGAAGCACGCTGGAGTCGGCCCAGGAGGCTTCCCGGGCGCCAGAAGCAGAAATTCAGCATTTTCAAAAGAAAAATGTGTATTGGAATGGCCTTTTTTTCGGCGCCGCCGCGGAACTCGATTTTCCGACCCGGCCGGGCGCCGGCCTGGGCAGAAATTTAGCATTTTCAAAAGAAAAATGTGTATTAGAATGGCCTTTTTTCGGCGCCGCCTCGGAACTCGATTTTCCGGCGGCGGCCGGAACCGGCTCCGGACCCGGCCCGAGCGCCGGCCCGGGCGCCGGCTCGGGCGTGCAGCCCGGGCGCCAGCGGAAATGATGCCAGCGCTGCAGCGGCAGCACGATTCGGAACGAGCGCGGCCCGAAAATGAGGCGGGCGCCTCACCGAGAGCAGCAGTTTGGAAAAAATGCAGGCGAAAACCTAACTCTGGGGAAACCTGTGTGTAAAAAACAGTACGCGGGGGGGGTCGAGTACTCCCAAGCCGTCATCAGGGGAAGAGGGAGAGTAGTTTTCATATTGAGTTATTGTGGAGGGAGGAGGGATGAGGCAGGAGAGATGGAAGGATGGGGGGGGGGCGGGGGTAGGAGGGAGGAAGGGGGGGAGGAGGGAAGAGGGAGGGGGGAGGAGGGAGGGGGGGGGTGGCGGGAGGAGGGAGGAGGGAGGAGGGAGTTGTGATGGGGGAGGAGGGATGAGAGAGGGGGAGGAAGGAGGGGGGAGGAGGGAGGAGGTATGAGGGATGAGCGGGGAGGAGGAGGGGGGGGGTGGAGGAGGGAGGGCGGAGGAGGGGGTGGCCGAGGAGGGGGGGGAAAGTAGGGGGGAGGGGGGAGGGAGGATGGAAGAAAGAGGAGGGAGAGGGGGAGGAGGGACGAGAGAGGATGGGGGGTGGAGGGGACAGGAGGGAGGAGGGGGAGGGGGGAGGGAGGAGGGAGGCGGGGGTCGGGCGTGTACGATGGTGCAAGCCCGGCCGGTGGCAACACCTGCGTAGCTCTACCTCTCACGTCGCCGTGCGCTGCCCTCAAGGCGGACGCGTCGCGCGTCTCTGGTGGGCATCCCGTCTCATGGTACGGGCGCTGTCCCCCAGGGTATGTGGATAGGTTCGCTGTTGCGATCATCGTTCTCTCAGGTTATCGGCCGCTTTTGCATTGCCCTCTGGCCCGTGCGACCGTCGTCGACAGTGTCGGTAGGAAGCTAAACTGGCGAAGTTGCATACGTGGGCAGCTACCCGACCTGCGTCGGTGGCAACGCCCGCGTCGGTCAACGCGCCGATCTTCAACGTATCCTGCGTGGAAGAGATATTTCGATTGTCTTCCCATTGTCGAGGTTCTTTCGGTTGTTCTCTACTCATCCATTGTCCTTTTGCCTTCTCCATTCATCTAATGTTTCTCTGCCCCCCCCATCTGTGTGACCATCCCTCGTGTGCCTTGCGGGGGGAATTTCTCCGTTCGTGTTGCGGAGCTCCCACGCCCTGGCAGAGTTGCATGATGCGCGGGCCCAGGTTGGCCAGCTGGTTGCCCGACTTCGGTTTGCGATTTCGCCTTCGCAAGCGGCGAACGTCATGCAGGACTTATTTGTCACCTCTCCCAGGCTCGAGAAGAGACTCGATCATCAAGGGTGCTGAAAAGGCGCGGGTGGAGGACTTCCTTGCCCGCTTGGACTGCGTGCAAGTCGCGCGCTGCGAAGAGCGGCAGGCAATCAGGGGCCGACTTCTGTGCGCGCAAATGGTTCCATGACTTAAGTGCTTTATTCGGGCGCTGCGGACCCGCGACCTCGCGCTCGGCCATCGTCCGCGTCCCTGATCGTCAAAGCCCCCAAGTCGGCGGGGGCCGTGAACATCTTCGTGACTTGATTGGCGGGTGAGGGTCGTGTCTTTCGCAGTCGCGCTAGTCATCTCATTCCTTCTCTCGCTGCAGGTGCGTGGGCGCGGATGTCTCCCGTCGTTTTTTTTCGTCCCCGCCCCCCTCCTTCCCCCCTCGTCCGGTCCCGCAACCTCCGCGGGTGGTGGGGGCCTCCTTCCCGCGTCTCCCTGGAGTCGGGTCTGGCCCCTCCTTCCTTTCTCTATTTCTTCCCCTGCCAGGTGAGAAACCTCGAAAAGGGGGATTGCAACCCTGCTGGGACCTCCTTGGCAGGGGGGTCGCAGCCATGCAAACTGGCACCTCTTGACAAGAGCACGGGCGCGGCGCGTTCGTGGTGGCCAGTGTTCGACTGGCGTGAAGGCTCGCACCCTTCGGGGTGTATGCCTGTTGATCGCGAGGTCTGCTCATCCTTCGTCGTTCTCTTCTCCTTTCTCCGCCCTTTCCGTGCCGTCTCGCGTCGGGGGGGCGGCGGCGCTTTCGGCGCCCCCGTTCCCGCTCAGGGCAGCTGGGCCCTGCGGGCCCCAGTTGTCGAGCTTGCAGCGTTTACGTTGCTCCCGCTAGTCGGCCCGTGCCTGTGGCGTACTTTATTTCTCTAGTGGAATGCGCCCCTCGGGTCGAGTGGGTAGTGCGCCGCCTCACCGCAGGTGCGCGTAGGCATGTTCTGTCTCTCGTGCGTTCTCACAGTCTTTCTTGCCCTCTGTCTCGGTCGTTGTCGTGAGGTGCGCATCCTGTTCTTCTCCTATGAGGTGACGCGGCCATCCTCCTTCTCGCAGGTGTTCGTCGTGGCGTTTCTCTACGGCCGCCCTTCTATGATTGCTCTCTCTGTGTGGTGTTGCTTCTCTCTTTTTCACCTGCCAGTTCCTGTTGGCGCCCTGCCTTTGGGCGCCGTCTGGGCAGTTGAGTCTTCCGGGCGCCTGTCGTCGAGCTCCTATCTTCTGCCAAATTCCGCCGCCTGTGTCCGTGAGTCGCACGGGGGGGTGCGCGCGATGGTGCAGGGCTGGCCGGTGGCGACGCCTGCGTAGTTCTCCCCCTCGCGTCGCTGTGCGCTGCCCTCGAGGCGCGCGCGTCTCTGGGGGGCGCCCCGACTCGTAGCGCGGGCGCTGTCCCCCAAAGGGGCGGGCGTGTGCGGATAGGTTCGCTGGTGCGAGCATCCTTCTCTCAGCGGGAAGTGGGGGGCGGGGGGCGGGGGGCTGCGCGGGGGAAGGGGGGTGGGGTGGTGTGGGGGGGATAAGTGAAATTGCGCGCTGTACGGGGACAGCAAAGCGGTTGACCTGATCGCGGTCGGCCGCGGGACTTGGAACACACGCGCGTTGTCTACCGAGGCTGGGGCGGTCGAGAGCCAGCTGGGGGGGGCTTCTGATGTTGCTGCGCGTCGCGGCCGCTGACGTGCGCGCTGGCGGGTTGACCGAAGCGGGCGGTGTTCCGCGTGTTGCCAAAGTGCGTGGATATCTTGGCTTGCGCGCGCTCTGAACCGAGTGAGGCCATTGTCTATTTCGCGCCGAGTGCCAGGCAAATGATGTGACTGTAGTTTTGGGCGTCATTCAATTTAACTGCTGATCGCGTGCCCCCACGCAGCGCCAGGCTGAGCCTTCGCGAGTGTGGAGGGTCGCAGCCGCCCGCCGCCCCTCCCGGGGAGGAACGTGTGCGTGGGACGGGGCGGAGCTGAATCGGTGATTTTGCGGTGCGGGGCTTGCCTGGTCAACTCGTGGCGCTTGGCGCTGCCCGACCGGGCTCGTCAGCTTCGACGAATAAATGGCCGGATTTCCGCCCCGGTCCGTAGGTGAAATTCCGCGTTTTCGGTCGGGCCCAAAGGGGCCCACCCTCTCCGGGGAATGCCGGCCCATCCTCCGATTTCGTTGCCCCAGGTTGTTCGGAGGGGCCATTTTGAATGATTTGCTGCGCAGTGCGTGAGGCATAGCATGGCGGTGATGTCATTCGGCGGGCCAGTCATTGGTGATTCTCCAGAGGGCCGCAGAGGCCTGTACAAGTCGCCGGCCAGGCCGGCGACACTGCTGGGTATAGAAAGCAGCAACACTGTCGCATAGCTGGCGTAGCCTTCATTATCAGCATCAATATACAACGCGCTGGCAGTCAATATTGCCCAGTGCTTATGAGGACACTCTGTTCGGCAACATTTTGTCTTACAGTGCGCTCTCGCGGGAATGCGGTGCGACCCAGCGCCTACATGAACCCGGGCGGCGGAGAGTCATTCAAATGCAGGTGGCCCTACGCCTGCATGGGAGTGGTTCTCAATGTAGGTGTCTGTCGATCTTTTGGCTCCAGTGAGAGGTGGTAGAACAATTTCCTTCCTCCTGTTTTCATGGTAGCCCGCGGCCGCCTCACATCCTGTGGTGGCCGCGGTCTGACTTCCATCATTTTCTCCTGGGAGCGCTGCCTGGCCGAGGCAGCCGGCTATCTTCTCAGGGTGGCCCTCGGGATCCCACCCAGGCCTCGCTGGGGCCCACTCTGGTTTCTGCCGGCCTCCAGGGCCGAATTTATTACCTACTTCGCCGCAGTCGCCGAGAGCGCTTCGGAAAACGACGTAGAGAGCGAGTTGACCGAGTAGTGGTGTAGAGTGGGGCTTTCGACGATTGTGATTACATGACGATCGAGGTCAACACCATGGATCCTTTCGGGAACCTCTCTGCGTATTCCCTCGTGGGTGGCACTGCAGAGTTGCTCACGAGTCCTCCCCTCCCCCCTCCCTCTCTCGCTCCTCCCTCCCTCCCTCCTCCCTCCCTCCCCCCCTCCCTCGCTCCCCCCCTCCCTCCCTCCCTCCCTTCCCCACTCCGTCCTTCCCTCCATTCCTCCCTCCCCCCCTCCGTCCTTTCCTCCCTCCTCCTCCCTCTCTTTCTCCCTCCCTCCTTCCCTCCTCTTCTCTCTCCCTCCCTTCTCCCCTCCCTTCCTCCCCCCCCACCCTCCTCCCTTCCTCTCTCTTCCCCCCTCCAACTCTCCCTCCCTCCCTCCCTCCCTCCCCCCCTGAGGTTTCCATGGTTTCCCCTAGGCTTCTGAAGGCTCGAAGGCGAGCCAGATCGTCAATCAACTTGGATCGTCGGTTCTCGATGTGCGATCATCGCTCTTCGATTCTGGGCCTTCGCTCTTCGATCCTCGCCCCCAGTGGCGGCTCCGGTCAGGAGAGCAACGAGGGCATGGGCTCCAGGGTGCAGGAACTGCTGACGGCCATGGCCGTGGCCCACAGGAACGGCATGAACTTCGGCGGCATGGTCTCGAGGCCAGGCCCCGCCGCTGCTCTGGCTTTGAGCGTCGTCCTCTTTGCCTTCGCCGCTACTGCCGCCGCCGTCGTCGTCGTCGTCGTCGTCGTCGTCGTCGTCGTCGTCGTCGTCGTCGTCGTCGTCGCTGTCGTCGTCGTCGTCGTCGTCGGCGTCGGCGTTGGCGTCGGCGTCGGCGTCGGCTTCGGCGTCGGCGTCGGCTTCGGCGTCGGCGTCGGCGTCGGCGTCGTCGTCGTCGTCGTCGTTGTCGTCGACGTCGTCGTCGTCGGCGTCGTCGTCGTCGTTGTCGTCTTCGTCGTCGGCGTCGGCGTCGTCGTCGTCGTCGCCATCGCCGTTGTCGCCAGTAGCCGTCGTCGTTTGCGTCCAGGTTAGTGGAGCGCGAAGCGCGCCAGAGGAGGAGGAGGAGGGAGGAGGATGAGGAGGAGGAGGAGGACGAGGAGGAGGAGGAGGAGGAGGAGGAGAGGGAGGAGGAGAGAGAGGAGGAGGACGAGGAGGAGGAGGAGGAGGAGGGGAGGAGGTGGTGGAGGTGGAGGTGGAGGTGGTGGAGGTGGAGGTGGAGGGGGAGGAGGACGATGATGATGATGATGAGGAGGAGGAGGAGGAGGAGGAGGAGGAGGAGGAGGAGGAGGAGAAGGAGCAGGAGCAGGAGCAGGAGCAGGAGGAGGAGGAGGAGGAGGAGGAGGGGGAGGAGGAGAAGTATAGGGCCTGATGCCTGATGCCCGATGCCTGCGGCAAGCCCCTTGGTCGCTCTAGCGCATTCGCGATGGGTTTGTCGAGCTATCCCGAAGCGCTGAGCATTAGCGCCTCGAGGCGTTCTTGGAAGAAGCGCCGCGATGCCTTATCTGGGTGTGCCCTTAACCTCAGGGTAGGAAGTCTTCAATCCTGCCGCCTCCCCGAGCTCTTGGCTTGTAGTGGACTCTCCGCGTCCCCGGGTTCGCCCTGTCCTTGTCCTTATCCTCCTCCTTCTCCTCCTCCTCCTCCTTCTCCTCGACGACGGCGACGACGGCGACGACGGCGGCGGCGGAATCTTTATTTGCTGACTGTTGTTGGGTGTCCGTGTGGGCAACCTTCTAGTTATTAGCTGAGTTGCCCAATATTGGGGGATATTAAAGACCTATTGAGCTTAACGCTGCGTGGTTTTTGCGTTGACTTCTGAGGGTTCCTTTAAGGTCTATTTTCTAGGCCTCCCAGATGGGGTCCGAGTAGATGGGGTCGGATGGTCGCGCCGCATCGTCGATGCATTGGCGATGCGGCTCGATGTGAGTCCCGATTTTCTCGACGCCGACGCCGCCGATGCATCGCCGACGTCGCCGCTGCATCGCAGATGCATCGGTTATGCATTGACGATGCTGCGCGATCCTCCGACCCCATCTACTCCGACCCCATTTGGGAGTCCTCTGTTGACGTTGTATGGCATTTGCGTTGGCTATTGGGGTTCCTAGGAGGCTTATTCGTGGCTTCTCGCTGGCCTCTCGTGGGCATGGTGCACGGTGGCCCATGGTGCGCGGTGGCCGCTTGGAGCCTGCTGTGGGCTGTCAGGGGTTTCGGCCCTCTTGGGCGCGATGGCTCTGCTTTGGCCTCCTGGACGCTTGCAGGGGAGATCCTTTGTGTGCGACCTGCTCTTCCCCCCATCCTCTCCCTCCTCCCCCTGCTGCTCATCCTCCTCTTCCTCCCCCTCGCCGCCCCCCCTTCTCCTCCGCCTGCTCCTCGTCCTCTCCTCCCCCTCCCCCCCCCGCTCCCCTCCCTGAGATACGACGTTGCGAAACAAATGCAGCATAACGACTCTCGACCAGAGCTCTGGACCCCATCTTTCTGTCTCAATTTGCGAGCCAGATCGATCTGTGATGGTCCCCAGGCCCGAAACTGGACACACACGCCCAGCATGAACAAATTGTGACGCCCAGACCTCACCCCAGCTGGAGATGTGCCCCTCGAAACCCGAAGGGAACAGCGTACATCACCAGGGGGTAAATTCTAGACGGCTTGTACAAACGGCACCAGCAGCACGACGGCCAGCTTGAGGGTGGTCAGCAGCACCACTGCATCCTCCACCACCTTGACTTCCAGTGCTTCGTTGTCCAGCAGTACGTCTCAGACGACCTGCAGTGCGACCTCCGGCAGCACGGTCACGACCAAGGCAGTCTCGAGCAGTGCTACGTCCACGGCCACTTCCACGGTGAGCTCCACGACGACATCGAGCATAGTACGAGCGGCACCAGCAGCACCGCGGCTTGCTCGAGCGTGACGAACAGCACGACTGCACCGTCCACCACCTTTGCTTCAGTGAATATGTGTCTAGCAGTACGCTTCAGACGACCAGCAGCACGTCCTCGGGCAGCACGGTTACGACCAGACTGCCCCGAGGAGTGCCACGGCCACGGCCACCTCCACGGTGAGCTCCACGACGGTACTGAGCAGCAGCTCGAGCGCGGTCGTGGCGAGCCGCGCAACGTCGAGCAATACGACTCGAGTGCGACACAGTCGAGCAACACCACGCCGTCCAGCACTGCGGTGAGCAGCGGCACGACGCTGACGGATGCGGCAGGGTCATACAATACCACGCTGCCCTGGACGAGGTCTTCGGCGGCTAGTACCAGCGGCTCCAACAGCACGACGGCCAGCTCGAGGGTGACCTGCCGCACAACGGGCTTGTCCCTCCTCACATTGGGGCCAGTCCCAGACGGGCCCCTCGGCGCACCACTTCGGCTCCGCGTCTAATACCGCCTCGGGCACGCCTAGCTGGGGCTGCTGGCTCGCCCCTGGCCTTCAGGAGACCCTTGCTCCTGGCCACTTTGCGGCCTCTCGCCCCCTGGATGATCGCCGCCCCCCCTGGCCCGCCTTAGGCGCCGCCCAGGGGCCCTGGTCCCCCCTCCCGCGGTGTGACCTGTACTGCTAGATCCCTGGCGGCAACAGGACTCGCAGCCTGACGCAGCACGCTACAATAAGCACCTCGTGACTGTTAGTCGCGCCCCCCGCCATTCCCGGTCCGCCCTTTTGCACCTCTCTGCGACTGTCAGTCGCCTTTCACCTCACCCGCCTTTCGGGTTGTTCCCGACCCACTACGCGACTGTCAGTCGCTCCACACCGGCACTCCTCCTTTGCACCCACGCTGTCTTTACGACGCTCCATTCTGCGGTGTAAGTCGCTCTCCCCTGGCCTCCGTCGCCCACGTTGACCACGCTCCATTCTGCGGCTGTCAGTCGCTTTCCCCCCGCCCTCCCCGCCCGCCTCCTAGCTTCCGCCCCCCCCGCCCGCCCCCCGTTTGTTCCGCCTCCCGCCGCGGGCCTCGCCTCGCCGCCCCCTGCCCCTTCTGCTGCCGCGGGCATCCCCCGGGTCCGCGACGACCCCTCGGGGCGTCGCAGCCGGCGCCGGCGGGCCCCGCTCTGGCGCGCGTGGCCTCTGGGCTTCCTCGGCCCCCCGCGCCGTCGCCCCTGCCCGGCCGGGTGCCCGCCTTTTCCTTGTTCGGCTCCCCGGCCGCTTCGGGAAGGCCGCTTGCCCCTCCCCTCGGGGTGCCCCTGGCCGCTCGGGCCCGTCCTCTGCTTGTGGGCGCCGTTCCCGCCCGTTCGGGGTCGACGGACATATTGTCTTCCCCCGTGCCGGTCTGGGCATCTCCCTACGAGTTTGGCGACATCCCTCTGGCGATCCGGAGTCTTCTGTTGAGCGCTTGCACGGCTTGCCCTCCTCGACTACGTGACTGTGGTCATCGTCCCCTTCAATTTCGCGGACGCGGTCTTCGGGTACCAGGGCTCGTTTTACTTCGCCATTTTGGCGTTGCGCGCGGACTGGATGCACCTCCTGGTCTTCTTTGATGGCCGTGTCCTTGACTACGTTACTGTGGTCATCGTCCCCCTCGATTGCGCGGACGTGGCTTTCGGGAACTGGGGCTCGAATCGCCTCGCCATTTTGGAGCTGCACGCGGACCAGATCCACCTCCTGGTCTCCTACGGCATCGGCGTTTCCGGAGTGTTTTTCAGCGCCCTCTTCGCCTTCTGAATCGCATCGTAGTTCGTTCCTGCGCGCTTAGTGCTTAATTCAGAACTTGGCGCGGTGGCCTCGTTCCTGGACGGCGCGCGTTTGGACCGCGACGCTCGCGAACAAAACAGTAGCCCCGCCCGCGATATCACGTTCGTGCCTCTTCACTCCCCCCTGGCGATCCGGAGTCTTCCGTTGAGCGCCTGCGCGGTTGCCTTTCTCGACTACGTGGCCGTGGTCATCGCCCCCTCGAGTGCGCGGACGTGTTCTTCGGGGATTCGGGCGTGAAATACCTCGCATTTTCGGCGCTGCACGTGGACCGGATGTGCCTTCTGGTCTCGTGCGGCTTCGGCGTTTTCGGCTTGTCTTTCAGCGTCCTCCTCGCCCCTTGAGTCGCAGCGCAATTCGCTCCTGCGCGTTCAGTGCCTAATTTCGAGCTTGGCGCGGCTGCCTCGTTTCTGGACGGCGCGCGGTTGGGCCGCAACGCTCGCGAACAAGGAACTGACCCCACCCGCCCATCTAGAGACGATGCCCGAACGATTTGCGCTGATCAGGGAGGTGGTGGGTAATGCAGTGGAATAATGGGCTGGGTAAGACGTCGCGCCCCAGGAGGGGGAGGATGGATAATGAATCGGAGGGGGAGGGGCATGAGGAGGATGAGGAGCGAGGAGGGGAGGAGGAGGGGAGGAGGAGGAGGAGGAGGAGGAGGAGGAGGAGGAAGAGAGAAGAAAAGGCGGAGAGGAAGAGGAGGGGAGAGGAGGAATAGGAGGAATAGGGGAGAGGAGGAGGATACGGTGAAAGAGGAGGAGGAGGAGGAGGAGGAGGAGGAGGGAGGAGGAGGAGGAGGAGGAGGAGGAGGAGGAGGAGGAGGGAGGGGAGGAGGGAGGAGGAGGAGGAGGAGGAGGAGGAGGAGGAGGAGGAGGAGGAGGCGGCGCAAAAAGGCCGGAGGCCTGTTGGATGCATCTCGGGTTATCTTTGGGTTTCTGTCGAGAGCTTCTTGGGGTCCTTTCGGTGCGTTTCGGGGGCCTGGCAGTCCAGGGGACCTCTTGAGGCGTCTTGGGTGCCCCTGGGGGGCCTCTCGGCGGAGCATCTTGGGTGCTTCTGGGAGGCGTCTTGGGGGCATCCCAGGAGCCTCTTGGGGCATCATGGCTGCCTCTTGGGGTCCTCGTGGGGCTTCTGGGCGCACCTTTTGGGACAGTCTGGAAGGGTGGGGGCTCCTTAATTAGGGTCCCCCCCAGGAGGCAAGCATGTGGCCATCACTTTACTAACGCCAGTGAACTTGGACTTCTCGCCACTGCCTCGTAGGGCGTATTGGGTGCCCTTGGGAGGCCTGTTGGGTGTCGTGGGGGTTTCTTGGGGGCATTTTGGGGGCTTCTTGGGGCCTCTTGGGGCCTCCTGGGCACCTCTCTGGGCAGTTTTTTTTGGGCACCCTGGGGAGCCTCGGTGGCCATCTTGGGGCCATCTTGGAGGAGATTGATCACAGTACGGGCCTGGCAGAAACCTTGCTCATTAAATTCATTTTGGCTTCCTCACCGAAGCTGGTTTCGACGCTCGAACTCCTCGCGGCCCCGCCCTCCAGACCCAAGGGTTGGGGGTAGGCAGAGGTATCAATACACCCTCCGCGCACGAAAGCCGTCTCGCTCACTCCCACTTGCCCGCCCAACACATAGCACCCGAGCCGCAGCGTGTTCAGCGGTAGTCTTTGGATGGGCAACTAATGGGAACCACAACAGACCCCATGTGCGCAACGGCGCGCCAGGCGTGCCAGGCGCGCCACGCGAGTGCCAGGCAAGCCTGGTGCGCCAGATGCGCCACGTGTTCCACGTGAGCCATGTGTGCCGCATGCTCCAGCCGCGTCAGGTGCGCCAGGTTCGGGGCGTGCCAGGTGCGCCTGAGCACGTAGCAGTACACATCGGGAAACCTGTCGGCCCCCACCACCCTTGTCGAAAACCGTGCGTGATCGCGGCGGGGTGGCGCACAGTGATCGCGGGGTGCCCGCGCATGATTGTTTTGTACAGGGATGCTGGCACTGCGCGCGGCAGGCAATATGCGGGCACTCCCGCCGTCCCTGCCAACAACAACAGTACAAAGTTGCCCCTCCGATCGTGACCCAAGATTATGCCCCAAAGTGGACTTCACATTGCTTTTTGACAGGGATGGTGGGGGGCGGCCCTCATTGGTCCTGGTTGGCTGCTGGTCGCCTGGGGGAGGGGGTGCTTATTGGTATGGAGCAGTGATAAGCCCCTCCCCGAAAGGGAAGAGGGAAGATGGATCAGGAAACTAGCTAATTCACTCACGCCCTAAAGGGCTGGTGGGATTAGCCAGTGGGGCCCAGACCACGCCAGTGGGGATAGGGATCGGTTAAACGGTGCTCATCGTCGTCGTCCTCCCCCTCCCTGCTTCCCGCAGCGCCCGCGCCCGCCACGGAGGGGCGTCTGTCACAAGGCCCACGGCGCCTCCGTCGTGAGGGCGGCCAGGGCGTTGCTCAAGCTGCCCCACGGCAACGACATCTTCACGGAGGATGCGGCGCCGCGGCGGCCCCAGATATTCTCTCGTCGTTAAACATTTCCACGAACAGTTTTTGGTAGTCTTCGGCCTCTGGGGGTACTCGCTAGGCTCCGGGACCGCCGAGAAACGATTCGGGATGAAAAACCGGCCCTGGGGAAAGGTCGGGACTTCCTGGAACCTCGTATGGAAACAATGAAGACATCGAATTTCCGGGGCCTTCTTCCCTACGCGGCGTTCGCTGACCGTCCTGTGGGACGACGCGGGCGCAGTCACCAATATGAAGGCTCCCTGATCTTTTCTTCCTCCTTCCTCCTGACTCCCCCCCCTTCGTGTTTCATCCTCCCATCCTTTTCCCTCCCTTCCCCCTCGCTTCTACCCGAATGTCTACATCGATGGAGGGCAGTATCTCTCCAAAAACATTCGCTCGGAGGCTTCCCTGCATTGCTTGAAGCTTCCAATGCCTGTGCCCTTTTCCAGAGTCTCTCTCTCTCTCTCTCGCATCGTTTCTGAGCGCATTTGCGCAACATGGATGGCTGCCACTTCGCTTTCGAATCGTTGTGTTTCATAAGGGCATGCGGCTTGTATCAAAACGTTTGTTGAGGTGCATTTCAAATTTGAAAGGGCTCTTACCTGTAAATCCCATGGAGCTCTCACCTGTCAGCGGGTGCTTGCCGCAGTGGAACAAACGTGTACATGCTCCCTCTTAATCTCTGCGACTCCCCCCCCCGCGGTCTCTGCAGTGATTCTGCCCAGTGGCCGCCCCCCTCCGTCGGCCCGCGGCCCGCTGATGCAGCGCGCCGTGGAGCTGTTGGAGGCGGGCGGTGCTGTGCTCTACCAGGGTCTGCGAGCCGCGCTCTTCGAGCGGCTCGCGGGCCGCCCGCCCACTGCCCTTGACGGATCAGGAGGCCCCAGCGTTCGGGGCCCCCCTGGCTGTCTCAGGCGGCGGGCCTCGGAACAGCGGCGGAGTGCCCTGCTCTCGAGGCTTCTGTCGCGTGCCCCGCCGTCTGCCTCGGGCTGTCGTTGTGCTTGAGCGGCGGGGTCTCTCCCCTGCTGCTCGCGTCGGTCCTCGCGCTTCTGGGAGTGACCGCTTGCTGCAGCTTCTGCGGGGGCTGCTGTCTCGCGGGCCTGGCGGTCCGCTGTGCGAGCCCTTTCCTGGCTCGCATTCGCGGTGCGCTGGGCGCGCCAAACCCACCGCCCGCGAGGGCAGCTGCTCGGGCCTTGGCCTACGGCCCTGGCCCCCCAGCCACCTCGCGCGGCACGGGGGCCTCGGCCCTTCGGCCCGCGTCGTTGCTTCGGGGTTTGTCCCTACGGGGCGGCCTTCGGGCCGCCCGCGCGGGCTCCCCCGCGACGTGCGCGCTGTCAGTTCCGCAGCGGACCCGACGCGTGTCACGGTGGGTGCGAAAGCCCCTGAGCACTGGTGGCGATGGCCGCGATGCCAGCGCTGCCAAAAGGCCCCGTGTGGCCGAATCTCCATCCGTTCGAGGAGCCATGACGAGCTACGACAGGTGGCGGCTTCACGAGGGGGACCGCAGCCACGCCGCTATACCGCTTGCTCAGCGAGATGGTGGCGCGTTGCTCGCTGTTCCCTCGTCCTTCCGCTCGGCTGCCAGATCTGGCGGCCGCGGAGGCGGGCGGCTTCTATGGGCTGCTGGGCCCGTACTTGGCGCTGAACGTGCCTTTCCTCGGGGCAGCCTCGCGCGCGCTGGCCGCCGCGGCCGCGGTCCTGGTGATCGACTTTGACGTCGACGAGTTGGATCTCGAGTCCTTGACGCCGCTGTCCGCGGCGGTGCCGGCCGACCTCGTCCTGTTCGCCACGGTGCGGATTCGAGACTACTGGCCGCGCCCGTCCATGGTGAGGCTGCTCCGCGAGCAGTTCGCCGCGCTCTGCAGAGCCCCGCCCGCCGACGGCGATGCCGTATCGCGCGGCGTCGGAGGGCGTCGAGGAGATCGGGCCCATCGCGGATCCGGAGGAGGCAGGCGACGGCGATTGCGAGCCTACGGCCCCAGCGGCGGCCCCTCCTCCGAGGCGCCTGGGGGTCTGCGCAGGGATTGCGGCTTCGCCCGCCCTGGCCGCGCAGCCGCGAGCTCCCTGTCGGGCAGTCGCAGCCCTGGGCGACGGCGCCCCGAGGACCAGAGCGGAGGTCGTGGCCGAGATGCGCGAGATGTTGGCGGCTCAGGCGGCCCTGCCGCGCCGGGCTCCAGTGCCCCGTCGCGACGCCCGTCAGCTGTTCGAGGACGAGGCCGCCCGTCGTGGGATCCCGCTGCACGACCTGCGAAGAGTCGGTGAAGGCTCCGCCGCCGCCTCGCACGCTGGCAGGTAGGCCGCCCCCAGGGCCCCCTGTCCTCGGCTGGGGTTCCGCTCCCGCCGAGGAGTCCGCCGCGGGAGGGCCTTCGGGCCCAGCCAGCTGCGACCGCGCCATGGATCTGGACCTCGCGCTGGCGCGCCTGCGGGGGGCCCTCGCGCGCCGGCAGGCCCCTCGACCGACGCCCCGTCCATCGTTGGGCTCGCTTGCCGAGAGCGGGCGGCGGCTTCGAAGGCCCCGATCTCCAAGCCGAATGCGAGGGCGAAAGCGAAGCCGAAGACAAAAGGAACGACCCCGCCCAAATCCAAGGCGGGCGCCGAGCCACCTTGAGGCCGATGGGCCACCCCCGCGCGGGCGGTCCGCGGGGCTCCGCCCCCCGCCTGTCAGCCCTCGCCGCTGCCGTTCGCCCCGCTGGGCGCAACGAGACCGGTGTCGGTCGCGGAGGTAGGAGTGGGCGTCTCCGGCGAGGGCGTTGCGCCGCCGCGGGGGGGCGCGCGCCCCGCCGCCGCGACTGGGCTTCGGAGCCTCGGGCGTCCCGCCGTTCTGTTTGCCATTTTGGCTCTCGCCCCCCCCCCCCCCCCCTTCGCCCGCTGCGGCCGCGTGGAGAGCCCGGACCGAGCGAGGTCGCGAAAGTGAAAATGCGCGTCTCCTGCGAGGGCGCTGCGCCGCCGCGGGGGGATGTTCGTTCTGCCAGCGCGGTTTCAGCTCGCCAGCTCCCGGCGCGGTTGCCTCGTCGGACCACCATGGTCCGCCTGCACTCGGTGATGCGCCCGCAGGCGCTGAGATGAGCCTGCCCATGACTCGGGCCTGGGGGCTGAGATCTAGGACAGATGGCCCAGGTCTGGGCTGGCCTCCACTCGGCCCCCACCAACCCCGACGCGGCTGCCGGAGTCCTCGCCGTCGTCGTCGTCGTCGTCGTCGTCGTCGTCGTCGTCGTCGTCGTCGTCCTCCCCCTCGTCCTCCACCTCCCAGGTGTGGATGCGAAGCGTGCGCAGGAGGAGTGGCGTGACTTCTGCAGAGACTCGCTGCAGCTGCAAGTGGCGAAGAAGGCCCGCAAGCATCCCATGGGCCTGGCTCCAGCTGCGGCCCCCGTCTGGGGTGGCGACCTAGAAGGAGTGGGTTGTGGCCCCCATGGCAGGTTGAAGCTGGGGCGCCCAGCGTCGGCGTCAGCTGCCGCCGGTCGCGGCAGAGCAGGTGCTGTCGGCAAATGAGTCGCTTGGGAGAAGGAGTGCTCACTGGTGGGGCGGTCTCCAGGCTGTGGCGCATTTTCATTGTGCTTCTCGACGACGCGACTGGGGGTGCGAGGCCAATGGGCTTCCTGTTTCTGCGGGCTCGACTCTACTCGCGAATTCGGCATCATAGTTGCGATCGGTGGGAGAGGTCCCACGGGTGTAAGCTGTGTCGGGGCAGGGCAGTGCGTCGGCTTGTGACGAGATTGCGCGGCCCCGCAGTGCTTTGAGTTCGCTTGCTGGGGTTCGAGGGATTTGCTGCGTATGCAGAGCTGAGAAGAACACCGTGTTTCAGTCGATCATGTCGCATGCTTATCTGTTAATTGGGCGGTGGTCGCTGGTTGCTCTTGCGCCGCCCCCCTCGCGAGAGTCATGTTCATGGTCGCAGTCGAGACAGCGGCTGCCAGCGCTCCGGCTGCGTCAGTTCGGAGTGTGATAGATGGCGTTTCGCGTCAAGCTTCGGGGCCTGAGGCCAGATGCCTTGTGCGCAGAGATCTAGGGGGCGCTGCCACAGACTGGAGTTTTTGCCGCTGCGAATCCCAGCTCGCTCGATGTAGGGGCTCGCTCCGCCGCGGGAGGCGACTGCGCGTCTCGCAATCTGGAGGCGCGCGCGTGGGGGCGGTGCGTGGGGGGGGCCCGCGGCGGTGGCGCTGTGGCGAGCGAGCACATCTGGCGCCCCGGACGGTCGCCTCGCGATTTTGAGGGTCCAAGCTGCGAAGGCCCAGGGGCGTCTTCTGCGAGGGGCCTCGCGTGGACTTTCTCTGACGGCGAGTCGAGCTAGTCGGCGCGGGGGTCCTTTGGTCCTGGCGACGATCGGTTTTCCCAGAACGTTTGCTGCGGTGCTCTCGGAGGCCGCCTGAAGGAACGCGTCGGTTAGTAATAGTTAGCTGGAGTTATAGCTAGTTAGTAACTCGATATAACTAGTTGCCGTGTTGGAGTTTTTTGGAGTGACATGTTCGTTTTTGGCAGATACTTTTTTTTTTTTTTTTTTTTTTTTGGTCCTTTGGTCCTGGCGACGATCGGTTTTCCCAGAACGTTTGCTGCGGTGCTCTCGGAGGCCGCCTGAAGGAACGCGTCGGTTAGTAATAGTTAGCTGGAGTTATAGCTAGTTAGTAACTCGATATAACTAGTTGCCGTGTTGGAGTTTTTTGGAGTGACATGTTCGTTTTTGGCAGATACTTTTTTTTTTTTTTTTTTTTTTTTGCGTGCATTTTGTTTTTTTTTGGACTGCATATCGATTTTTATTGATATGCGCTAACAGAACACTATGCGGTATTCGACGGGCCAAATGCACGTGATATTCGCCGACGCTCTTGTAAATCATTTGATATTTCAACGAACTGAAGGGGGTGAGAACGGGATCGCGGGCATCATCGATGACATGCCTAGAAAAGTGTTCGCTCGCATGCACATGCTTTGTGGTCAGAATCTGAACTGAGCTCTGCGGCGGGCCGCCGTCGCATTTCACGTGGAACCACAC